ATATTCACTTGTAGAATGGCATAAAGAACGGGGCTGGCTCCTAGGGCTGCTGCGACAATGAAATGACAGCAAACGCAGAGTTCTTAGAGAGGTGTCCAGTGCATCTGTTAAACCAGACTTTAAAAGTATGTGGCTGAATACACACAACGCCTAATGAGAGCAAAAAATACACAAGCAGACCCTGTCCAATACATGTGCTTTAGACGAGATGAGTGCAGATGTTTAAGAGTCATTTTCAAAGAAGTAAAATCAAACAAATGAAGTCTTATACCAAAATACAATGATTATCTTTGTTACTTTCCTATTGCTGTTACAAAATGCCATATAGTAAAGGCAACTTATAAAAGAAAGCTTTTAATTTAGGGGCTCTTGGTTCCAGAACAGTGGTTCCCAACCTTCCTAATGCTGCAGCCCTTTAATACAGTTCCTCAAGTTGTGGTGACTCCCACCATGAAATTATTTCATTGTTACTTCATAACTGTAATTTTGCTACTGTTATGAATCATAATATAAATATCTGATGTGCAGAATAGCTGGTATGTGACCCCCAAAGGGGTTGTGACCCACAGGTTGAGAACTGCTGTTCTAGAAGGTTAGAGTCTATGACCATTACGGCACGGAGCATCGCAACAGGCAGGCAGGCATGGTGCAGGAGCAGTAGCTGAAACCTTGAGACAACAACCATGAGAAAGAGAGAATGCCAACTGTAATGGCATGACTTTTGAAACCTCAAAGCCTACCTGCTATGACACACCTCCTCCAACTAAGCCACGCCTCCTAATCTTTCCCAAACTGTTCCACTGACTGCTGACCAAGTATCCAGATATGTGTGTCATTCTCATTCAGACTAGCACAAACTGATGTCAAAGGTCGTGTTTAACTCACTCCTTAAACAAAGAAGCAAAAATGTATCATAACAAAAGAAGTTTCCAAATGATGGGCATGTGCATGGAGCAGTAGTGTGGAAGTGAATTTGAAAATAGATGCAATGCTGGCCTCTTGAGCAGTGTAGAGGTGATTTTTATCTCTGCCAGACAAAATCCTGGGTTTCTCTGTGAATAAAAACCACTTGATGTCATCTATTTACTACAGAACTGATCAAAGGAAAGATGCAGACCCCTGTAGCACCAGATTGCTGGAGGGGTCCCATGAACATTATCCGGGAAATGAACTATTTTGTCTATTTCAAAAACTTGAAATTCAGGGAAGTATGTAACCAATTATTTTGAGTTAACTAAGACATGACAAGAACACAAGTGGGAAACTTAGCCTCAATACTTATCAGCTAGTTTTATGAAGTCGTGTCAGCTCTTTGAGTATAACCCTTTTCTGTGGGGTTAGGCTCACGGAGCAATAGTGAGGATGCGATTACATGACTAAAGGTCCCGATGTGACTCAGAGCCAGTCAGCGAGCAGGGCTATTGTGAACTTAATTATAGCTGACTGAACCAGCCCAGCAATAATCGCGGGTTTACTTTTGCCACGCCCATCACCCCAGGGAGAAGCTACATCCAGCAAGAGGATAAGCCCAGGGGAAGCGTGGGGCACTACTCCCACAGGGGACATGGAGGTTGTCACCCTGATTAGAGAAAGAAGGTGCTGGGGAGAGAGCACGGGGTGGGTAATGTCCACATCTGAGAGTTCTGGGATCCCCACCTCCTGGTCTGGCTTGACAGGATAGTACTCAGCTCTGAACTGGCTGAGTACTAGATCTTAGTACTGACCCTGTGGACTCAGCTGCTGGCTGTTGACAGCATGTGTTTGTCAGATCACCCGGATGCTGGTTGAGTACACTAAAGTTTAAGAATAATTACTGCAGAATAAGTAAAAAGCCTTTTGTTTTTAATTTCTAATCGGTTTGGGGTAAAATTGATAATAATTACATATATTGAAGGTAGACAAAATGATGTTTTGTTTTGGTGTTCATGTATATTTGTGAAGAAACTATCACAATCAAATAATTAGAGTGCGTGCACACGTGCATGCGTGAGTGTGTTGTGTGTGTGTGTGTGTGTGTGTGTGTGTGTGTGTGTGTGTGTGTGTGTGTGTAAAATTAGGACCCACTCTCTTGGAAAATTTCATGTATGCAGTCCTTTAGTTACTGTGCTGTTCATCAGGTCTCTAGAACTTTTTCATCTTATAACTGAAATTTGGACCCCGTGACCAAAGCCTTGTTTCTTCCATGCACTGATCTTTGGAATCCACAATCTACCCCTGCTCCTATGAGTTCAAACACTTCAGATTCCACATATGAGTGTGACAGCATGTCGCATCTTTCCTCCTGTGTCTGTCTTATTTCACTCAGCAGACTGTCCTACATATGTACATGCATGTAGGTGCATGCATGCTTCAAATGGCAGGATTTCCCTGATCAAGTGATACTCTTAAAGCATAGGGAAAGTATGAAGTGAGTGTCAGCAGCTAGTGTGCTAGGCAGCTTATGATGAGCAATTGAGGTGAGGCTGGAAGGCTGGAGGCAGGAGGGAGGTGGCAGCGTAAGTGTAGCCCACGGCAGGAAAGTGGGACCTTCACCAGAGTCCATATGAAGGACCCCTTACCATGACTATAAAAGGGAGCATTCAGTGACTCAGTGGAGAATGGGCTTTAAACTCTGAGAAGAGGGGATTGGAGATACCCTGATGCAAACAGGGGCAGGAAAATGGCTAGTTGGGAATTTGCTAGGTGACGGTGATATTTTAAAGGGATGCTTACTAGCAGGAGTGGGAAGACAGTCAAGCTCTAAGCTTGAGTGACAGGTCTGAATGTGAGGCACTCACAGCAACAATGTGAGCTTTTATGGAACAGATTCAAATAGAGCTCTTCTCTTTCCTTACTCCTTTACGCTGTCAGAACACACCATTCCACACACAAAGGACTCACGGGCCAGATGCCAACAGTATGGAATTGAAAATGAAGACATTTTATGCTTATGTTCAATCTTGCCTGGAACCAAATGGAAGAGCAGCATGAGCAGTCTGTTTCAAAGATCAAAACGCACAGGATAGCTGATAGAGTGATGTAACTTAATTATTTTGTTCTTTCTAGGCAGAGTGTAAAATCCTTAAGGGACAGGCAAGGTGTTTGGAAACTCACTTTCATTCCCCAGTGAGGTACTTGGTAAATGCTTAGTTCTTGAACTGAGGCTGAAGATGATCCCTAGGGACACAGTAGCATATGCTATCTCTACCCTGGAGTTGGCCTGTTTTCAGCAAGTTGCATTGGTTCAATTCCCGACTGCGCTAGCATCCTTCAAAGGGCTAATTAAGATACCTGGCTAATGTGGGAATTGTCTGGAAATTAAAAGTTAAATATACCCCAGTTCCCAGACTCAGTTGGCCCAATGGGAGACTTGCCAGGATTAGTTACACCCTTAACCAAAATTATTTATTCCCAACTGCTACCTTGGTTGGGATAGATTTACAGGGGCTTCCTGGGGAGACTGAGTGATTCTTTCGTGCCACACTTGCTTTTATCAATCCGCAAATGCCTTTTAAAGGAGATTTTGGTTTCAAGTGTTTAATTTGGGATATGTTCCAACTCTCAGCAAAAAAGAAACTCTATTGCAGCCTTTCAGATTATATAACAATTAAAATGTTTTGTTATTCACCACATAAACAAAAGATGTCAAGTTCCCGGAACACAAGTCTCCAGGTGAATTTCTCAACTTGAGACTGTACACATGCTCATGCAGGGTTTATGTACACTTGTATTGTTTGACATTCAGTAATGGATATTTTCATGTGGTATCGATGTCTGACAAACACCACAATCAAGGCAACGCAAGTGTTTAACTGAGTTTATGGATTCAGAAGGTTAGAGTCCATGCTCGTGAGAGGAACAGCTAAGAGCTCACCTCTTGTCGTTGACCATTTGCAGAATCTATGTGAATACCTTTTGTCCCTTTTCTGGGTTTAAATTTAACTTGATATTATGACAATTACATTATTTAGAGTAAGTTTACATTTTATGTCTGTTTTGTGTTATTTATGTCACTTAAGCTAATGAATTAAACTTCTTGTATTTTGCAGCTTTAGTATAAACAAATGCAAAGCAGATTCAAATGAATAGTCTCCCAAATGATGTACTTGAACTTTTGGATTGTGTCACACATACAAAGCATTGATAAATGTATTTATCTATTCAGCTGATAAATACTTGTGGAGCATCAACCATGTCTCTGATTTTGTCACAAAAGTCGGAAGCACAATGTAAAACAAAGCTTGATACAACTGTACTTGTGCTTTGGGTGTGGTGTGCGTACCTACAATCCCAGTGCCTTGACTAAATAACCTGCCAAGACCCTCTTATGCAAGGAAGGATTGATTTTAACTCACACTGTGAGCTACACTCAGTCACGACAGGGAAGTCACAGTGGCAGAAGTCATGGTTGTCATGGTTAGGAGGTGTAGAGTGATGAATGCTGATACTCAACAAGCCTTCTTTCTATACAGCTTTGGGACTCCAGCCTAGGGAGTGGAGCCGCCCACATCTAGGGTCGATCTTCCCACCTCAACCAAACCAATAAAGTGCCTCACAGACATGCCCAGAGCTTATTACCTAGGCTATTTTAGATCAAGTTGATGATTGAGATTAACTAACCATCACAATATTTTACCCCCAAACAATAATTCAAGTAATGAATTAGAAACTACAGATTACTTCTATAATCAGAGGCCATGGAAGAAATTCTGTCTGCTGTGGAATTGAGTTTAAGAACTCATTTAACTTAATCCCTGTTAGTCTAAAGAAGGAGGGATGCACCTAAGTGTCACGTGGGCTTTCTTAGAAGCTCATGTCAGCAGCAGGTGCAGCGTTTGTTTACTTCATGCCACCTGCAGCTTTGACCCACGGGAAGAGGCCTGTTTGTAGAAATTGACAAGAAATGCATGACTCGGGTAGTTCAATTGCTTGTGTTTTGTAATTGACGTTTTTACAAACAGAAGATGGTTCATTGCTTTTACGATTCTGTACTACTTTTTCCCGTCTTCCCCTTTTCCCAGGTTTTAGGGCAAAAGCCTGCACTCCCAGATGGGGATAACGATGATGATGCCCTGGCAGACATAAGCAACAGGAAGATGGCGAAGCTGTACATGGTGAGTCTGCTGGGGTGGGACTCTGAGTTCAGCACTGGGGAGGCTGTCTCCACTGGAGGAGGGAACTCACTTCGCCCTCACAGAGACTTATGTATGTACTACAATGTTCACTCCTGTAGCTTCCTGTTCTATTCATTAATGATAACGAAGTTACTGCTGTAACTTACACGATGGTTATATTTTGTTATGGTTATATTTTGATTTGGTATAGCTGATAAAATATTTCCTTTGTGGAATGAAACATTTGGTAAGCCTTTTCTTCTAAATTCTTGGTAAGATTGTAAAACCTTCATCTTTAGAATATCCTTTCACTACAAAGAGTGTTTCCTTTGTTCCAGGAGGGTGAACTCTACAGTCAGCTAGAGGGACACAGGGTGGAACCCGCCCTGAACCGGGTGCTGGCTGACCTAGTGACTGGGCCGGATACAGTCTTCTGAGTTTTCCAATGTGAAAGGGAAGGGGAGGAGAAGAGGGGAGGGGGGAGGAAGGAGGAGGGGGAAGGAGAGAGGAGCGGAGGAAGAGGAGGAAGAAAGTGGTTCTATTTGGTGATTATTCAGGTGTCTTGCAGCAATAGAATTTTGAATCTACTCTTGGTGAAATTGACAAAAGCCATAAAACAGGGCAGTGAAGGAGACTGTGAGGACGGGACTCCTCCTGTGTCCCTCCCCCTCCTACAACTTCCTAAGCAGGTCATTTGGAGCAGGTGGTAATCTCCCTGCACAATTTAGTGATATTGTCCTTTTCAACAAGAAGAGAAAAACTCATGTGGTAGTCTCTAAGGAACTTTCTTTCATTTTCTTTATTTAATTTTTTGAGACTGGGTCTCTCTGTGTAGTCCTGGGTGTCCTGGAATTCACTATGTAGACCAGGATGGCCTTGAACACATGGAGAGTCAGTCACCTGTTTCAGCCTCCTGAGTGCTGGGATTTAAAGGTGTGTGCCACCACACCCGGCCCTTCTCAGGAACTTTCTAGCTTACCAACTTCATAGTTCTGAATGAAGATGAATTACTAATTTATGTAACATAACTTCCTTTTTCTAATGGGGATGTGGCTTCTTTTCTTCCTCGACAATAAAGGAAAATATGATTTCATAATCATATCTGCTAAATACTGATATTTTTAACATGATCCATACAGACATTGTTAACTAAATAGTTTGTGACTTTATTACTCTTTTTATAGTCTAGCAAATGTCATTTGTTCCCCACCATTGATCAAAACTTCCCTCTTGGATAGCATTATGTATGAGTGAAATAGTTCAACGTAAGAAAGTATTAATCTTGAACCATGGCTCCCTCTAGTGGGCTATTGTATACTGTACAACTTAAGCTGTGTCATCCTGGAAATCATTTGGGGCCAACAAGACTGGCAAGCCAAATCCCTGTGCACACTCTCCTTGTGGTTGCAAAACTTGGTTGCTGATTGAATCTGGGTCTGGAGCCTTCATATTTAACAAACATGCAGCTGATCACCCTGCGCCCCCCAAGTTGACCATGAAAACCAACGCATTGCGATGGTTCGTGAATAAATATCACCTTTGTACAACCACCTACAAAACCTCCTTAAAGGCTTTATCTCCACCCGTGACAGAAAACAATTTACCGTGATGGTTTTCTGAAAGCATGGCTACATTTCAGGACTGGGATAGAAAGATCTGCAGCCATAAACTACACTCTATCAATGTTCTCCTCTGTACAGTGACTGCCGTCTAATAGGGACCCAGAGACTGAAGCCTAAATGAATTTATACTCTGCTCTGTGTGTTTATTATACATCAGCTTCTGAAAAGTTTGCTCTAAAATTTAAAATAAATGATCATGGAACAAAGGGGCCCAGGGAACTTAGCATGCACTAGCATTGTGAGAGCCCTTACGCATTGCGATTATCATCATGGTTTTCTGATGTTTTAGAGAGAGTGTCAAAATGTAACTTTCTGTTAGTAGTTCTTCTGCCTCTAAGAATAATTTTACAGAAGTGTTTGGGATACCGTTGGTTGGGCTCAGGGATGCTCTGTCTCTTGGTCTTGAGGCAGTTTTGCTCGTAAGGCTTGTGTTGTCAACGTGTGTAGTCCACTCTCGCTCTCACCACGGCACCATTTTAGAATGTCTGCTTCTTCCCAAAATGAAATCATGGAGTTCATGGCTTTTCTGTTAGGTTTCAGATGCAAGTGGATCCATGAAAGTGACTTTGGTGGCTGAAGAAAACCCCTTCTCCATGGCAACGTTGCTTTCTGAAGAATGCTTCATCTTGGACCACGGTGCTGCAAAACAAATTTTCGTATGGAAAGGTATAAGAGATGCCATTGATATGGTTGCTGTATTTCATGCTCATACAGATGCTTTCTTCCCCAGGAGGGCAAAGAAAACATCCTGATTTTAAAGCAAAGCACCCCTCTTGAGATACAGTGTGTAAATATCTCACCTAAGATGCAGCTAGTGGTCCGACGTTTGGAACTACTCAGCAAAGATTAGGGAGCTAAGGAAAGCATTTGAGTAACAGCAACATACATTGTTAAATATACTGTCAATTATTATGATATTAAATGTATTTAATGTACCAAGGAATTTGTTATTCTCCCATTGCTATATTTAAGTTAAATCACAACCACATTTATTTTTGGTATGTAAGTATTTCTTAATCATATAGTGTGTTCCCATCCAAGGAGGAGCCAGCTGGGCCCTGCTTGAATTCTGAGGTCAGATGAGATTGGGCGTGTTCAGGGTGATGTGGCCATGTACAGTGCAGTATAGTAATTTTGTAATTTCATCTGTAATTTTATCTCTTTATTTTTCATTTTAGGTAAAAATGCTAACCCACAGGAGAGGAAGACTGCAATGAAGACAGCGGAGGAGTTTCTACAGAAAATGAATTATTCTACCAATACTCAAGTATGTGTGAAAAGAAATCCCTAGAAAAACCGTTAAAACTTGAGAGTCATGACATCTTCACAAAGCTCATGAAAAGTTTGTTCCAAAATAGTGTGTGTCTGTGTGTGTGTGTCCGTGTCCGTGTGTGTGTGTGTGTGTGTGTGTGTGTGTGTGTGTGTGTGTGTGTGTAGCCATTCTCCAGTTGAGCATGGGCCATCCCTAGTAGTCTTTTTTTGAGGAACATTCTCAGAGAGTAGGCTACACAGAGCTGGGGATGTGACTGGTAGAGTGTTTGCCCAGCACACATGAAGCTCTGGACTCCATTTCCAGTACCATATGAAACTGGATGTGTGGTGGTGCACAGCTGTAATCGGAGCACTCGGCAGGTGCACGCAGGGAGATGGGTTCAAGGCCACTCTCAGCAGCGTAGAGAGTTTGAGGCCAGCCTGGGTTACATAAAAACCTATCTCACAAAACAAAAACTTGCACAAAGACTATCAACCACTCCTCAGTCTATTGTGGAGACTTGGGTAACACCCTCATCATATTTGGTTGCTTCCAGATTGGCTCAGACATTGACTAGCCACTCTTTTTCTCCATATATATCCCGGAACCAATAATAGAGTGGGATAATTTCTTCCCGCTCCCATCTCTTGTGAACCTAATGTGAACAAACATTGATTCAGTGGTAACATAGGAAGCCTCTTCTCATCTTCGTCTTTCACATTCAGGAGCAATGATGTTGGCAGTGAGAAAAACCTAGGTTGGATGCCTGTAGTTGCACAGACTTACGAAGTTGCAAGTGCAGTGATAGAAACAAGAACAGTATTCTTTCTCCTACTGGAGATATTCTTCTGTCTCTTATTTTCCCATTGATTATTATTTTGAATTGCAGATTCAGGTTCTCCCTGAAGGTGGTGAAACACCGATTTTCAAACAGTTCTTTAAGGACTGGAAGGATAAAGACCAGAGCGATGGCTTTGGGAAGGTCTACATCACAGAGAAAGTGGCTCGCATACAGCAGGTCCCATTTGATGCATCCAAACTGCACACTTCTCCCCAGATGGCAGCCCAGCACAACATGGTGGATGATGGCTCTGGCACAGTGGAGGTATTTTTACATCTGTCTCTTTCCATTGGTGTTTTTATCGGCCTCGTTGTAGCACTGTCTGGGAGTGGAGGGATACAGCTGTGGCCATCTTTAAACCCTTTTAAGAGGTGAATTTTACTTGGTAAGGAAGGTGACCCCAAACTACACACTGAGTCGCAACTACACACTGAGTCGTGGAGTTACAGCTGGAGAGCTGTTGCTCGGCTTCAGGCCCATGTGCACATGTGCGTGCTGACATTAAGGTGGTGGATGCAGCAGCGTTTTCTATCAGAAAGTCTGTATCTGGGGTTGTACAAGGTTGTACTCAGAACGTACCATCCATTTCTTCTTCCCCCTACCTATTGGAAGCATTCATGAAACAAAATGAGCTCAAAGCAGATCTTTTCTGAGCAGTCAACTTGAATGTATTGATTGTGACAGTTTAGATCAAAATTGCTACAACTCTCCTAATTGTTTTAAATTCAAATCTCTTCAAACTCAGTCCACTCTCCATTGATCTAACTTAGTGGGGCCTGGATAATATAATCCCTCCTCTGAAGTATCTTCATGGCCCTGCAGCCTTTCTGGAGGCTTTCCTCCTTGCTGGAACCTCCAGGATCGGAGCCTTGGCCTCCTCTTGCCGTTTGAGGCATCCCCACTCCTCATGAACTGTTGTCAAGCCATCCCTTTCCTAGCAGCTCCATCCAGTATCAGCTACACCTCTCCTGAGGAGCCAGCCGTGGGCACTGAAAAGGCTTTTCTCCGTGCTTGGAAGTGATACTTTTCACAGATTTTATCCCAGATGTATCATAGCATTGCTGTTTACTAACAGATTTCTCCTAGACCTCTCATCAGTTTTTTTAAGTACAAGAGTTAAGTACTTCATATTTACATTCCTAGGTCTTAGTTGATAAATTTAGAAATTAAGTTTTCCTCTTTTCAAAGAACTGCGTAGGTGTTGGGGGGTGGGAAATGACAAGATCATAAATGTTCTGATGCCACCATCAAAGGGGGTCAACTTCCTGTTTGCAGCTCGTCCTGCTTGGGTATCCTCTCTGAAGTTCAACACAGGCAGCTTGCCTAGAATGCACTTGAGCAGACGGAGCTCCTCGGCACCCACTATGACTACAGTGCCATCTTTAGCTCTGGCCACAGCTTCTCAGAGAAGGGCTCCTATGCCACACTAGGGATGCTAACCCACAGTGTGTAGCTTGAGTTTTCCTGCCTGGCCCACACTCAGGACAAATCTCTCTCACCTGCCAGTCCCACAGCTGCTCAGACCCAACCAAGTAAACACAGAGACTTATATTGGTTACAAACTGTATGACCATGGCAGGCTTCTTGCTAACTGTTCTTACAGCTTAAATTAATCCATTTCCATTAATCTATACCTTGCCACATGACTCATGGCTTACCGGCATCTTCACATGCTGTTTGTCATCGTGGCGGCTGGCAGTGTCTCTCTGACTCAGCCTTCCACTTCCCAGCTTTATTCTCCTCCTTGTCCCGCCTACACTTCCTGCCTAGCCAATGGCCAATCAGTGTTTTATTTATTGACTAATCAGCAACACATTTGCCATACAGAACATCCCACAGTCACAGTGGCTCTGTTTAGGCTCTTGGGGTTGGTGAGGCTGTGTTGCTGAGCCCTCTGGTCTCTAGAGGGATGGCACAGGAACAGAAGCCCTGCACTGTTCCTCATGATTGCTCACCCCACATTCCAAAGCCAGTCCTGTCTGCCCCTCGCCACCTCCCCCGCACTCACGTTGGAGGAATTGTGCCGCAGGTGCACAGTGAAATGCCTGATGGCTTCTTCATCACTGGCCTTTTCACAAATGACGAAAAAATATTTTACTCTAAAGTTGAAGCATATTTCTGAGCTGAATTGTAGTTTTTATTGTAGTAGTACCGTATTATTTTCATGAATTTAAAGAGACACCCAGATGTACACACACACATACACACACACACACACACACACACACACACACACACACACACACACACCAATGGTCTCAGAACTACTGGACTTGGTAGCACATGCTCGTAATCTTAGTTCTTACCAGGTTAACACAGAAGAATCTTAAATTCAAGATCAACCTGGGATACATAGTGAAATCCTGTCTCAAAACAAAATGACAATAAAATTTAAAAACAGAACCATCAGCAACAAAATCCTCAGAACTGACTAAATATTGAGGAGGAAGCAAAAGAAACAGAAGCTTTTAAAAGTCAAGAAATTGTCAGATTTGTTAATCTTCTTGCTTTTGCTTGATTATAAACTGGTTAGAAAAATAATTTAAACATTGCTTGATAATGAGTCACAAGTGGAAACTATTTATGGTTTATGAGTAGTAGTTGAGGTCAGTGAACGTGTAACAGTTTATGTCTATTCTGTCTCTTTCAGATCTGGCGTGTGGAGAACAGTGGCAGGGTCCAGATCGACCCAAACTCCCATGGCGAGTTCTATGGTGGTGACTGCTACATTATCCTCTACACTTACCCCAGGGGGCAGATCATCTACACGTGGTGAGTCCTGGCAGAGCCCAAGTGCCACACACAGGTCATGCTCCACATGACTGACCTCCACAGAGCATGAGGTAGAATCATCCCTTGATTACAGAAGGCAACTGTACTCAGATCTTGTGTACTTTGGGGACGATTTCCCAAAATAACAGGCAATAGACAGACACGATTACTTAGCAAAGTCATATAAAGGGCCAAAGCCCGGTTTCTTTAGAATGGAGATGGAGATGTCCACTCTATGTATTTCTAGAAATCCACAGGGCAATCCAGAATTAGTACCCAACAAAACACCTATAGCTTTGATTGCTCTGCTTGTGCTGTCACTTCTTTTTGGTATTTCATGGTATCTTAAGTCTCCTTTTGAAGTGGTTTCATGAGATGGTGTTGAATGTTAACTCAAACCGGTGTGATTTGCTTACATTCCTCTAGGCAAGGAGCAAAAGCGACAAGAGATGAGCTGACCATGTCTGCGTTCCTGACTGTTCAGTTGGATCGGTCCCTTGGAGGGCAGGCTGTGCAGGTCGGTAGGCTTTGCCTTCCCAACTCACACAACTCCAGATTCGTCTGGCCCACTTCCTAGTGAAAGTTCACTTCCCACAGTCAAAGGGATTTTGAAATTTTTATGCCGATTTATTTTTATTTTGAAATTCAAATATTTCATAACACACTGGTTATCTCAGATTCTAGAGAAGAGTAAGTCACCAAAGGCAAAATAAAAACAGAAAACTAATAATTTCAGAGTCTGAGAAGAAAGCAGAGGGACTCTTCTCTTTAGAATCCACCATATGTCACAGTCAGTAGACATTTACAGCTATGAACAAAGAGTGATAATAGACAGAACTACGTGTTATGTGCACATCCTAACCCTGAGGCCCTGTGAAAATGTTATGTTATAAAGCAGAGGAGAATTAAAATCGGAGACAAAAATCATAATTGCTCATCATCTGGCCTCAAGTTAGGGAGATGATCCAGGATTCCTGCATGATGCAAAGCATTGATCAGGGTCCTCAGGAATCAACTAGTGAGACAGGCAGAGTGAGAAGGATGTAGTGTGGTGAAGATTCCATGGCCAACTGCTGGCTTTAGTGGAGAAAGAGACCCAGAAAGGAATAACGCAACCACTGGGAGCTGAAAAGGGCAAGGAAAAAACATCCTAGAGTCCCTTCGGGTCTTAGTTCTATTGCATGAGGAGACACCATGACCAAGGTAATTTATAAAAGGAAGCATTTGACAGGGGGCTGGTTTACAGGTTCAGAGGGTTAGTCCGCGATCATCATAGGGGAGCATGGCAGCAGACAGGCAGTCACGGCGCTGGAGCAGGAGCTGAGAGTTTGCATCCTAGCACACAGGCAGTAGTCAGAGAGAGCGAGACTGGACCTCAACGCCCATCCCCAGTGACACACCTCCTCCAACAAGGCCACACTTCCTAATTCTTCCCAAACAGTTCCACTAACAGCAGACCAAGCATTCAAAGATATAGCCCATGGAGGCTATTCTCATTCGAATTACCATACTGCACTAGCCAGGTACTAGCTTAGTGACTAAACTCTTGTAGATTTTAACCCAGTGACTAAATTAGGGCAATAACTCGCTTCAAATTTCTAGGCTAGTGTAAGATGATGAATTTATATGTGATAAATTGCTGCAGAAGCAACAGAAATGACACAACAGTCCAGAGTAAGCACAACTGAATAATTTTCATAAAAAACCATACACAATATTTTATACATTTTCATAAAAAACATAGAACAATATTTTATACATTCTCAGTCAAAGGGATCCGTAAATCATGGTTCACACAGGCAAGCTGAAATCAACCTTGGCAGATACATAGATCCATATTTTCTCTTTTAGGGACCAGAATCTTCTGGCCAAAAACAGTGTCAGAAAAGGGAAAAGGACAGAAGTGGGTAGGGAGGGGAGAGAACAGAGGAAAGCAGGGAAGGGAGAGGAATGGGGGAAGGGGACAGACACAGAGGAAGAGACGTGGTTCCAGGGAGGGAAGAGATGGACCCTGCATTCGGTATTTCTGAAAATGAAAAACAAATTGTTGAGAATGACTGAACCCTGAGCCAAAATGACTGACACGCACACACACACACACACACACACACACACACACACACACGCTGTGTCTACGAGAGGAGCAACAGCTAACGTTTGACAGTAAGCAGACAGTATCAGCACCTAGGTGGATTTCTCTGCTGTGTCTAAGAGGCCGTTTCCAGCGGGTTTCGGTATCAACGTTCTTTCTTCAGTTCTGCTTTTCCTCTAATGTTGGAGTGTCGTCTGCCACGACTCAGGACCGGTGTTAGTGACCACAGGAAATGTGTGGTCTGCCTGTTCAGCCCCTTCCTCTCTGCCTGCTGTGTTTCTGTCTACTCTTGTTATCTGCAGAGTGGCACCTGCTTGTTCCTAGCTGGAGATCTCCGGAGATCTCTGTCTCTCTCTCCTGTTTCCTCTCTCTTTATAATCTGGTTGCTTACCCTACCACCATTCTTGGGTAGGTTTTGATGCTATTTGTTCCCATGTGCTGGGAAAAACATCTAGATGGTTCCATTGGCCTGTTTATGATGGTTCTGATTCAGCATCGTGAAGTGTTCTCTTCAGAAGGATGTATCAGCTTAGCTACCTCATGTCTCATGTCAGATGAGCTCACGTTCTATGTGGCATAAAAAAATGTTTTTTGGTTTTTTGTTTTGTTTTCTTTTGTTTTCTCCAGAACAGATACAGGGGTACACAGAGAAACCCTGTCTCAAAAATTAAAAAAAAAAAAAAAGGTTTTGTGTTTGTTTGCTTGCTTGTTTTTCAAACCCTTATAAATGCTTTGGTTTTCAAGTGTAGTAATTAAGCAGAGAGATGATTCGGATTTAGAACGTAAGATGGGGATGTGGAGGCTGAACTTGGTCTTTAGCTGGTTTCTTTCCATCTTGGTAAGAACAAACAGATATATAAAGCAAGCTGGCTCTGTGTATAAAGGACACATGAGCCAAGTTTATAAAAAAAAACCCAATTAACAAAATTTTTGGATTCTTTAGGTGCATGCTGCTCCATTCCTAATCAAGTATTTCATTCATTGGAATGTAATATTTATAGCTAGAAGAGATATCACCTATGTTGTGTAGTTGAGCTTAAAGCTGTTTCTCACAAACGATTCAAATGTTTGCAGCTGCACACTGTGCTTCGAGAGTTCACAGAACAGTACATGATACACAATTAACGAGTTTCCAGGAATTAGCCAGCTGAATCCTACAGTGGATGAAATACTAATTTCTTATTGAATTACTAGATGGCAGTGGTTCACAGTAATTATTTTTGAATAGCTGAAGTTCTGCATTGCTCTTGTATTTTTGGTGGAGCATCTTGGCAGTATTTAAGCAACTTATTACACAATTTAATCCACTTTTTTCCCTCTCCAATCTCCTTCAGAGGAAAGTGTGGACCTTAATCAGTGCCCCTTCCTGCCATGGGCAATTGCTGTTTTTTGAAGGCTATGTGACATATTAGTGGTTTTCAGGACCCCTCCGACACTTTCCACACTGTGCGACCAACTGGAAGACGCTTCATAAGTAGCTGCTCACCCATTTGGGTGTGCACTTGTTGAACCACATTCACGAAGTCAGTTATTTTCAGTATTCCCCAGGCCCCTATGGTTGGGCATGCCTCCGAATTTCCATTTGCCTGGCCTCTGGAAACTCTTATTCATACTCTGTTCCCCTGCCCTGTGCACCCAGGTCCGTGTCTCTCAAGGCAAAGAGCCCGCTCACCTCCTGAGTTTGTTCAAAGACAAACCACTCATTATCTATAAGAACGGAACATCCCGGAAAGGGGGACAGACACCCGCTCCCCCTACTCGCCTCTTTCAAGTCCGGAGGAACCTGGCATCTATTACCAGAATTGTGGAGGTAAGGCTATGCATTCTGTAAATATGCTCTGGGTGTGGACTTTCCAGCACGCCTGGTTGTTAGGAGTATTGGCCTGTATACCCTGGCAAGGATGCCTTTTACTTCAACAACATGAAACACTAGAAGAAGAGACACTGAATGAGAGGGCAGCTCAGCTTTTCAACTGCACCGAACCCAAACTGAGTTTTGGAGTATCATAGCCAGTGAAGCTGGCAAGGGGCTCGGAGCAGCTACAGCTCCATCTTGAAAGGTCTCTGGTAGGATTGTGAGGCATGGTCAGAGGACCATGAGACCTGGGGACATCTAAGAAAGCCCTCTGAACAAGAAAATCTGGCCACACTGGAGTAATCTGTCACACCTTGAATTCTAGTCGCCATTGAAATCCAGGTCTCTCTCAGCACTCCATTGCTCTGGGTCTCCCCAGATCTAGAGCTGTTTTTTAAACCCTTTCAGTTTTTAGGAGCCACTCTGGCAAGCTCTGAAAATTCAGCTATCTTTCCTCAATCTACTAGCAACCTCTCTGAGACTCCTCCTGCTTCATCTCTGGCTGTCCTCTGAGGACTGACTCCAGCAACCCTCTTCAATGGAAGCTGTAATTCCTCTCAGTTTCCACTCACTAGAACCCCACATCCCCACCCCGATGGGGCTGGGCAAGGTAATGCCCTTGTTCACTCAGCCCCCCCCATTTCTCTTATTATTATGGTGCCCCCCACTTTCCCCACCAAAGCAGCCTTTCCCCTGTGGTCCCTCCCCCACAACCCTCTTCTGCTGAGAAGCTGGTCCTTCCGTGTCATTGTGGCGGCCTCAGCCATGGCCTCTGTCACTTTCATCCTGTCTTTTTTCTTCCAACAATCTCCTGCACCTCAGTTCCTCTCTCTCAAAGAGAACATAAATGTAATCACACAGAGATCACCATATCTGCTCTCCCACAATTTCACTATCTACATCTGTACGTAGATATTGTCTTCTCTTCTGATTTATGAAATAATTAAATTTTTTCTATTTGTATTTTTAAAGTAATTCATATATTAGTAACATAAAAGTGATGAGCTGTTTTATCAATTAATATCAATGTTACTCATGAAGTATATATCTTACAATGATTTGCTAAATTGATACTTATTACATGGAATAAAAAAGTATGGCTCCTATCCAAAGCCAAATTGCTCCAGCCCCTGTTCTACTACTCTGCCTTCGATCCCCTCTCTGATTTGCTTAGACTCTTCCTTTGATTTCGAATGCCCAAGTACATACTATACTCCATCCTGACTGCAGGCAGCAGATCCCCATGCACATACTATACTCCATCCTGACTGCAGGCAGCAGATCCCCATGCAGTTCTTCTTCTTGCAGTCCATCCTGACCGCAGGTACAATCTCCTTCCTCGTATCTATGACTAGTTATTCTTGTATCCTGAATCATTTACTTTGAAACCAGATGTGTTTGAAAGCAAATTCTTTAGAAACTGTGTTTTGCTTTCTCCAGAGTTTCTCTGGGATCCATCATTGTTGTCCTTCTAAGAGCCCACATTCTTTTTTTTTTTTTTTTTTTTTAATTTATTTTGCAATACAATTCAGTTCTACATATCAGCCACGGATTTGCTTGTTCTCCCCCCTCCCGTCCCCCTCACCTTCCCCCCAACCCCCCCCCCCCCATTCCCATCTCCTCCAGGGCAAAGCCTTCCCCACAGACTGAGGTCAACCTGGTAGACTCAGTCCAGGTAGGTCTAGTCCCCTCCTCCCAGGCCGAGCCAAACAATCCTGCATAGGCCCCAGGTTTCAAACAGCCAACTCATGCAATGAGCACAACAAAATCAAAGAAAAAAAACCATATGATCATCTCACTGGATGCAGAAAAGGCATTTGACAAAATCCAACACCCCTTCATGATAAAGGTATTGGAGCGATCAGGAATACAGGGAACATACCTAAACATAATAAAGGCAATTTACAGCAAGCCAACAGCCAACATCAAATTAAATGGAGAGAAACTCAAAGCAATTCCACTAAAATCAGGAACGAGGCAAGGCTGTCCACTCTCCCCATACTTATTCAATATAGTACTTGAAGTTCTAGCCAGAGCAATAAGACAACATAAGGAGATTAAGGGGATACAAATTGGAAAGGAAGAAGTCAAGCTTTCCCTATTTGCAGATGACATGATAGTATACTTGAGCGACCCCAAAGATTCCACCAAGGAACTGATACAGCTTATAAACACCTTCAGCAACATAGCAGGATACAAGATCAACTCAAAAAAAATCAGTAGCCCTCCTATATACAATGGACAAAGAAGCGGAGAAGGAAATCAGAGATACATCACCCTTTACTATAGCCACAAATGACATAAAATACCTTGGGGTAACACTAACCAAGCAAGTGAAGGACCTATATGACAAGAACTTTAAGTCCCTGAAAAAAGAAATTGAAGAAGATGTCAGAAAATGGAAAGATCTCCCATGCTCATGGATAGGCAGGACTAACATAGTAAAAATGGCAATCTTACCAAAAGCAATCTACAGATTCAATGCAATCCCCATCAAAATACCAACACAATTCTTCACAGACCTGGAAAAAATAATACTCAACTTCATATGGAAAAACAAAAAACCCAAGAGCCCACATTCTTGATAGCCTGAACACGGTAAGCCAGGTGAATGAGAACACCTGCCACAGGAATTCACCACAGTCAACTTGAACTATTTATTGGGCATATTTTTCTGATGCGGCAACTGTTTCACCACATTTCCTGAATGTTCTTCCAAAAATCCAGCCACCCCTCCAGGGTGGTTTTGTTGGGATTTACTCTGTCTGGCCTCTAAGCACCTAAGTGTTCCAGGCCAGGATGATCTTATGTGGTCACGTCATTTAAATTTGGCCTCCATATTAATCTTACCTGCAGGACTCTTGGCACAGATTATCATGTATTCAATCATAACTATTTTTTAAAAACCCATTATATTGACAGTGGAGTTCTCTGTGGACACTCACTTGATTTTACACGGAAGAGCCGAACATAATGTTCCACTGTGTTGGCTTTGGCAGCACATATACTATAAAGTTGGAATGATCCAGAGATTAGTGTAATCTTCCACTGTTCAACTCCTGGTCTCCTCCATAGTCGGCCTTTCTTTAGGAGGTATCCTCAGCTGAATTCAGTGCATCACCCCACTTCCTTGCCGCATCCTCTCCAGTTTCTCTGACATGTCAGTCATGATGATCTTATGTGACCTTCTGTCTTGTCTCCTGGGAAGCTGATACTTCCTAAACACTAGAGGGTTCTCCTCCCCGGTCTCACACCAATCTGGGCACCAGCCTCTTGTCATCTATCTTCATATTCCTGGCTGCTTCTTCTGCGTTAGAAAGGAAACATACAGATATACCAGAAGTCCTGAAATCCAGACCTGGCTGCTAGCGTTCTCCATCATCTCACCTGATGATTTCCTTGCTTGGTCCAGGAGGCCTCATTCCTGCTGAAAGTGAACAACTGTACTTCTCGGAGTGCTACCAATCCCGCTCCAACAGCCGTTCTTCTTCCCTCTAGCTTTTCTTCCAAAGTCAGACCCTTACAAACTGGCCAGATCCATCTCTCCTGCTAAAGGTGCCTTGATCTGGACAGTCCAGTGAGGTGGGCCAGGCAGCATCACTCGGCACAGTGTGTCACCCCAGCCTTCTTGATGTGTTCTCAACTGTGGTCTCAGTTGGCCAGACTCCTGTTTTCCTCATCCCTCCTGGTTGCTCTGTCTCAGTCTTGTATACTGGTTGTTCCTGGTCTCCCTGGGAGTCATATCATAGTCAGCATCACAATTGCTTAGAAAATCACGCACAGCTATATGATGACTGTGTGTCCAGACCACTTCTCACAGATGTGGTTACGATGTCACAAACCACAGAGTCTTAGGTCCAAGCCCATCCTAGAATGCTCATGATCATGGCCAGGCCAGAGATGGCATGGGTCTTGTCCCTGCCTGGTGTTTCCATAGGCCACACCCACAGGTCAGTGTCTAACCCTGAGCGCCCTCATCTGGGGACACAGGAATCCAAATTGCACTTGGCAGACCGGAGGTAGTGTCTGCAGCTTCTGGTGACTAGAAAGGTGTGTGCCCGCGCTGCTTTCTGTCCCTACACAGATCTATAATTTGAGCTAGCATTTATCTGAGACAGAAAACGACTCAAGTCACCTCTTTGTCCTGTCTGTTTTATGGGTTTGGGGGATCCCTCTCTTTAGTGGGGAGGAAGAGGGACCAGCTTTGCTTTGTTTAACATTTGACACTGCACCCTCTGTTCATGTGTCACGTGTCTTGTTCCCTGAAATATCTCTGAATATTGTTTGTATTACTTTGTCAAGTCCTCAGTTGGGTTGTTTTTGCTCTTTAATTTTTGTGTTTGTCTGTGTGAGAATCTGCTGTTTGTCTGCCATGTTTGGTAACCAGAAGGGAGTGTTGGACCTCCTGGAGCTGGAGGTATAGGCAATTGGGAGCTGCCTGTTGTGAGTGCTGATGACCCAGCTCAAGTCCTCCAGGAGAGCAGTGTGGGCTCTTAACCACTGAACCGACTCGCGACCCTCGTGCCTTGCTACTGAGCAGGAGTCTTCTGTGTAGCTTAGGCTAGACTTTTCAGGATTCTTCTGCTTCAGCCCCTAGAGTGCTAGAATTACAGGTGTGAACTACCATGTCTGGCCAAAACCCTCAATTCTTGACTGATGGCTTGCTTATTTATTTATTTTTAATTAATTAATTAATTAATTAATTTTGAGACAGGGTCTCTCCGTGTAGTCTTTGCAGCCCTGAAAGGTCTATGTAGTTCAGGCTAGCCCTGAATTCACAGAGATCAGACTGCTTATACCTCTTGAGTGCTAAGATTAAAGGCTTGGGATACCACATTCTGCCATTTTTTTTCCCTTTTTTTAATTAAGAAAAATTTTTCATTCATTTTTACACACCAATCAAAGATCCCCCTCTTCCCTCCTTCCACCCCCCCCAGCCTCCCTCTCCCAACCCACTCCCCTCTCCCACCCACAAGAAGGCACAGCCTCCCATGGGGAGGCACATCCAGTAGAGACTCTGCCAATGTTTAAACCCTGCTCTGCTGCTTGAAGGCAGCTGAACGTCATGGGGGCATGGACCAAGGTGTCTGTACTCCAGTGTTTCAGGTATCTATTGCATCTCTGTCTTGAATTAATTTCCTGGCATTAGGAAGAAGGTTCTAGATGGCTCTGCATAGCCTCAACAGTGAATTTGAATCATTGTGTTATTTTTCCCTCACGCTCTAGGTTGATGTTGATGCAAATTCATTGAATTCTAATGACGCCTTTGTTCTAAAACTGCCACAAAACAATGGCTTCATCTGGATAGGAAAAGGTGCTACTCAGGAGGAGGAGAAAGGAGCAGAGTATGTGGCTGATATTCTGAAGTGCAAAACAGCAAGGATTCAGGAAGGCCAAGAACCAGGTGTGTGCTGTGGGACCAAGGTCACCGCTTTTATATTCAGTGTGCTTAATTGACTTCTTTCAATAATCTTTTTTTTTTTTTTTTTTTTTTTTTGCATCATTAGAGTTGTGTAAGGATGCCTCCTTTAATTGCAAAAGTGTAGATGGCATCTGGTATAATTAAGTTAGAATGAGATAATATTGCCATTAATGTAAAATCCTACAAAGCATGTTCTCCTGAATATGCATTGGCTAACTCATTGTGTGTTCCGTAGAGGAGTTCTGGAACTCTCTTGGAGGGAGAGGAGACTACCAGACCTCACCATTGCTAGAAACACGGGCTGAAGACCACCCACCTCGACTTTATGGCTGCTCCAACAAAACCGGAAGATTCATTGTAAGTGTCTTAAATAGATTGAGCCTAATGTTAGGCATTCTGTGCTGGCTCTAAGGACTTCCAGATGTGTGAGTGCTGTGAGTCCCAGGTTAGCTTCTCTGTAAACTTCGGGTGATAATCTTCACTCCATACAGGTTAGTTTAAGGCCCAATGATGTGAGAGATGCAGAAACATCTAGAAAATTCTAAAGTAATATATAAAGCAAAATGCCCTTAAAAATAACTACTTCATACCTGTATCAGCATTTAGTTTCTCTTGTGGGTGGCTAGTTCTGTTCATTTAGTAATTAGATATTTTTTGGGGAGGGCCATCATTTTTCAACTAAGTGTAAAATTTCCAAGTGGTTTCACAGAGGAATAGAAATTTTCTCCAGGTTGATTAAATGAAAAAAAGTCACAGAGAGCTTTATGGTCTCCTGAAAATTAACTGACATCAACAGGGATGTTTTGTTTTATACTCCTTTATAATTCAGGCAATTAAAAGTAGACTTAGAAGACTGTGAACGTCTATTGTGTGGCACTATTCTTAGGGAGATGAGAATAAACGTCTATTCACCACAGATAGGGAACCAATGACAGTCCAAAGTAAGGATACTACCAAAGTCCAAGTTGGTAAACCACTGAGTTTTATTAGGTGTTACTTACAGGAGCAGAAATTATTTAAAGTTAGCTACATCATCGAAAGTCAACTCCTGCATGAATGACGGCTCACGAAAGCTGGAAACCTGGAGCACACTGCATGACTTGTAGGCAGCTGAGTGGGTTGGAGAACTTCTCTTCCAAGCATCTCAGCTGGCCTGAGAGTCTCTCAGCAGTCCTTGCTACTTATATGTGCTTTGGGAGGGAGGGGCCTAATGTATCTAATCAGTTTCAGGGACTTCCTGAAATTTTTCAGTTGTTTACTTCCTGAGCTTATTAATGCAGGGTGGACTCTTTCACCTCCCTTAGAACACCTTGAGTCATAATGAGCTTCCCTCCTAGATGGAGTGTTTCATCTGGGAGGAAATTGTGCACAACAGTGTCTTGTTGTTTTAACACAAATGTGGTAGACTGGCATGTTTAAACAGCAAGCATGGCTTTCTCACGTCCTGGAGCTTGGGAGGTCCAAGACCAAGGCACCAGCATATCTGTTGTCTGGGAGAGCCCTCCTGGCATCATCACATGGCCAGTGAGCTGACTCTGTCTCTTCTTAGTACACTGTTCCTGTCACTGGGCTTGTCCTCATGACCTCAGCTAAACCTAATTACCTCACATCAGCCTCCACCTCCTGATACTGAACACAAACATGCAGTCCATAACCTTACCTGGTTTCATATTGGGTTTTGAAATTTCGTTCTGTGCTGTATCCACTTACCTCCATTTAACTGGAGACGTGGATCATCTCTGACCTGCTAGACTTTTGTGGGAACTTAAAGGAGGGATTCTTTTCACCCTAGTGAATACAAACTTAATTTTCACCACACAAAATTTCCCAAGAGCTCACCAGATACATTATTAGGAATTCTGTGCTAAAGGAACTGTCCATTTATAAAACATACTTGGTGCTTACAAACAGTTTAACCTGGAAATTTAAGATATAGTAACGGCTAGTGATAAATGTTCCTTGTTGGGACCGCAGTTGGCCACCTGCTGTATAGTGGAGCACCTGCAGTGAGCGAGTGGAAAAGCACAGCACGGCCAGAATTATTGTTTGGCCGTTAACTCTGAGTCATGAGGCGGGGAACCCAGGATCCAAGTCCCAGGTTCAGGGACAAGCCAAGGACAGGGCGATTTTCCACTAGGCTGCTACCCTACGGGGTCCTGGTCATCTGGCTTTTTATAATCTTTCTGCCCCTCTTCTGTGCTGTTCTCTGAGCCTTAAGAGTAGGGGTTATATTGTAGTCTGCCAATTGTAGTTGAGCACCCCACAATCTCAGGAAGATGTAATTTACAAAAGTAGTACTCTGGCTTCATTCACTCTAAGATTTTATAACCATCTATTAGTTTCAACTAGTCTTTGATCTCCTCCTCCTCCTTCTTCCTGCTCATGCTTATATTAACCATTATCAGAAATATTCATTTCTTCTGTATCTATTCATTTTCTTATGTGATATTTGGAAACTTTCTTTTTCCTTTCACAGTTTAAGGAAAAGGATTATTACCGATATGTGTTTGATCTTACAATAATCATTGGGAAACAGATTTAAGCACATAGACTAGTACATGGCAGTAGAGCCCACTGTTCAAATCATAGCATTTAGAACCAATCTATATATGTGATATCACCTACCTGATGGGTGATCTTAGGCAGTTTCTTTACTCTCTCTGTGCTCATGCTCTCATTCATTAAATGTCGAAAACCACAGTATTTAACTGATATGGTTGTTGTGTTAATGTTTGTGTAAAAAATTAATATACAGTCAAAAAGGGATATTTAAATTTTTGTTTTTTCTAAATTTTTTTGTTTGCTTAAAAAAAATTATTTATTTATTTATTATGTATACAGTGTTCTGTCTGCATGTATCCCTGCAGGCCAGAAGAGGGCACCAGATCTCATTATAGATGGTTGTGAGCTACTATGTGGTTGCTGGGAATTGAACTCAGGACCTTTGGAAGAACAGCCAGTGCTCTTAACCTCTGAGCTATCTCTCCAGCCCCCTGTTTGCCTATTTTTTATTTTTCTCTCGTATGTTACATCCAGACCACAGTTTCCCATCCCCCCTTCAGTCTCTCCACCTCCCCCTAGAAAAGAGCAAACCTCCCAGAGACATCAACCAAACACAGCATAACACAAGACCAGCACATACCATCACATCAAGGTTGGACAAAGCAACCCAGTAGGAGGAAAAGGGTCCCACAAGAACACCAAACTATGCAGAGGACTAAGGTCAGACCCCTAAGGCTCCCTGATCTCTGTGAGCCCCACTGAGTCCTGGTCAGTTGATTCTGTGGGCTGTGTTCTTGTGGTGTCTCTGTCCTCTCTGGTTCCTTTGCTCCTTCCTCATCTACTCCACAGAACTCAAGTTCTGCCTAATGTTTGGCTGTGGAACTCTGCATCTGCTCCCTTCAGTTGCTGGATGAAATCTCTCTGGTCTGTTTGATAAACATGCTGTGAGGTTCTGGTCTCAGAACACTCTGCAGGTAGGACAAACAGTAGGTTGAAGGTTTTGTGGCTGGGTTGGTTTCTCAATCCTTCCACTTGAGGCCTTGCCTGGTTATAGAAGATGGCTGGATCAGGCTCCATGTCCATTACTAGGAGTCTTTGCTAGGGTTACTGTGATAGATTCCATGAAGTTTCCATTGCTCTAGGTTTCCACCGCAACCCAGAAATGTCCCCCAATTCCAGTCATTTCTCCCAGTATTTTCTCCCTCCATTCCCCCCAGTCATTTTTCCCAGTATCCCCCCCCAACACTTGATCCTTCCTCTTCCCAATCCCACTCTCCACCTGCAAAATTTATTCTATTTCCCCTTCCCAGGGAGATTCTTGAATCCCACCTTAAGCCCTCCTTGTTATTTTGACTTTCTAGGTCTGTGGATTATAGCATGATTATAATTTATATAACAGCTAATATCCACGTATAAGTGAGTACATACCATGTTTGTCTTTCTGGGTCTGGGTTACCTCACTCAGGTTCCATCCATTTGCTTGCAAATTTCATGATTTTTTTTAACAGCTGAGTAATACTCCATTGTGTAAATGGGCCATATTTTCTTTTACCCATTCTTCAGTTGAGGGACTTCTAGGCAGTTTCCAGCCTCTGACTATTATGAATAAGGCTGCTATGAACAGAGCTGAGCAAGTGTCCTTGTGGCAGAATGGGACATTCTTTGGGTATACAGCCAGGAGTGATATAGCTGGGTCTTGAGGAAGATTGATTCCCAATTTTCTGAGAAATCTCCATATTGATTTCCACAGTGGCAGTATCAGTTTGCACTCCCACCAGCAGTGGAGGAGTGTTCCCCTTGCTCCACATCCTTGCCAGATGAGCTGTCACTTGTGTTTTTGATTTTAGCCATTCTGATGGCTAAAGATGTTGAACATTTCTTTAAGTGTTTCTCAGCCCTTTGAGATTCCTTTGTTGAGAATTCTGTGTTTAGATCTGAACCCCATGTTTTAATTGGATTATTTAGTTTGGTGATGTCCACTTTCTTGAATTCTTTATATATTTTGGATATTTACCCTCTGTCAGATGTGGCGTTGGTGAATGCAGTGGGCCGCAAGAATATATTAGAGATTCAGCTGTATATTAAAGCTATACCTAGAAAAGTCAAGACATTTTTCTAGAGGAAGCCATTTATCAAGGAATATTTAGTGTTATTCAGTTTATAATATATCAGCTGTCTTCTGCTATGAAATTCTTGTGTGCCCTTATACTACTAGGTCATATGGCAAACAGATAAGCTTCTCAGACCTGCTGCTGATCCACTAGGTAACATCCCTGCAGGGCCTAGTAGACAAGCGGGGCTGTAGATGCATAGCTTTGTTTCTTATGCAAATGAAGCTCAGACCTCCCTTCTCCAGGCAGGGAAAATGGTATTCCAGAGCAATTGACTCAGAACAAAGGAGATTTTTGCATATCCAGGTGGAGTGAAGGATGGGGCAAGATTCCTGGTCAGAGTAGAGTTGCATGGTCAGGAAAGAAAGAACAAGGCAGTTTCTGTAGATGGTAGACAGAGCCATGAGGCCAGGGAGAAGAGAGGAAGGCAGGAGTAAAGAGGAAGGAACAAAAGATGGAGGACAAAGGAACAGAGGATGAAAATGAGGTCAAAAGCATAGGAGCTTACTAAAACTATGAGGACAGAAAAAGTAGGTACAGAGAGGAGCTGAATGTGAGGATGGAGCTGAAGCTGTGTAGATAGAATTTTGTCCTAGAGAAATAAAGTAATGGATGAAAGAGCATGGTGTTCATAGATTCTTTTCCCTCAGATAATCCCCCACCAGACATAGTGTCTTCCCAGGACCCTGGGAGGAATTTTCTCAGGGCAGGCCCTTGGGAAAATTCCATTAGGTGAAGATCTTT